AAGACCCCCAAAACCTCACATGCAAACATGAAGAAGGTTTTCTCATAAAAATACTTTCTTATGTGCATACTTAGAGTGCCTTTCTTCATGACAACATTTCCAGTATGTAACAGTCCTGATTGCTTAACATGAAACACACTTCAGCATTATGGCAGTGGAAAATCATTTTTACCTTCTTTTGAGTTAAGAATTATACAAAGTGCAACACTGAGTAGATAAGTGCATTCCTCCCCAGTTCAATTAAGCACCAAATCAAGGAGTAAGAATACAAGTAGCAGTCTACTTTGGATTTCCGCACTGAGACAAACTGTTCTTTTGCTTTGCAGTTATCTGTAAACACAGTATTTCTGGACGGGCTCTAAAAGGGTTAAGTGCGTTCCAACTTTTCCATTTTACTTGGAAGACAGAGAATGTGAAAGTCCCCAGGCACTAGTACTTATCTACATCTCTGTCTCAGGGTTTTTATGCTCAGCTATCAAAAGCGACAGTTGCATGGTACTTCCTATGTTGTCAGCAATGCAGGGCTGGGGGGAAGGTGGATAACTGTATAGGTTTATCAGTGGTAAACACTGGTCATTCATGTGTTCATCATTCATTTGGCAGAGAAGCAACCTTTCACATACTGTCCGCTCTGACATAGGGAGGACATTGTCTAAAAGGAGCAGGAATAAAACTCAGACATAGTCCTGGCACTCAGAGTGATATGCATATTTTATATGGTTTGTTTAATGAGTTTATGAACCTTAGGCTATGAATTTTAATCCTGGCAGTGGCTGCTGGAATTCTAAAAGTCACATATTGAGTAGGTTTGAGATGCACTTTGGAAGATGGTAAGTGCAGATGATTGAAACAGTTCCTAAAAGCCTCCAGGCAGCCAGATGGAGAGGGATGGACATAATAAAAGACAGGAAGCACCTCATATAACTGCCAGCTGTAGGTCAACACTAGACAGGACACTTGTATTTGTTCCACATATGCTCTCTTGCTGAAGAGCATTTTTAGTAAGTGTCCACTCATATCATACTGTAGCAAGCAACTATTCAGAAAAAGTCACACTGTTTTTAACTTTAGGCACCGTACTGAGGGGTGCAGAGGGAAAAAAAAAAACAACACTATTTAGGGAGTCTTTGCTTGGTAGTGAAAATATTTTATGTGAAAAAGTAACGAACAGTACATAGAAATGAGGTTTAAGGGCAAGTGTTTACTACTCAGTGCTATGAGCAGTGACCACTGGGTCCCAGAGGTACTGCCTCTACCTTGTGAAGCCTTGCTACTTGCATTATACCCATAATTTCATTGATGCCATGAATTGTGAAGTCCTACAGAGAAAATGAGTCTTGCTTTTGACCTGATTAACATGAAGTAGATAATAACTTAGAAGTAGACAAATGGGCAGGGGAACAAAAAGGCGTAAGGGGTATATATTAGATTAAAACAGAATCAGAACTCTAAAAATGCCACTCACTCTACTATGGAAACTTTAGCATATACTTAAACTTTGAAACATCTTGTCACAGGAAGCAATAATTATTAAAAAGAATGACAGGAGCCCTACTCTCAAGCTGGCTTTTGTCTTATATCTGCAAATAAAAGTTGTAGTTTTACTTTTTCTATTAACCGTGAGCCCATAATCTGATGTGATTTTGTTCTGTTTTAAAAATACACCTCTTCCTAAATCACAAGAGACACGCTGATTTGTCTTATTCCAATGTTAGGGAGTGCTGTTATAAGACAACACCTTTCAGTAATATTCAATTCCAGGTTCTTTGAGAAATTGTTGCAAGAAGACCTCAGCAACTCTAGACAAAGAAAATATTATCTGCTTAGCAGTTAGTATCATGAAGCAAAAATAGACTTTACTATACACATAAAAGCAGACTGCAAAGTGATTATGGGGAACCAGGAAAGTAAAACCCCTGGAACATAATCCCAGCCCCATTGTACATAGGACATTGTGGTCCTATAAAATCCTGATTATGCATGAGAAACACACAGGTGACCAAATCATCCAGAAGACAAAGTTGCTGATGTCATATGCTTATAATTCTGTGGCTTTCCACTGAAAAATCATACTTACACTGGTTAAAACACCCTGAACATACAATTTTTAACTATTTATTTATTTATATGTATATATAACATATATATGTATATATATATAAACTCTCAAGAAAGTTAAAAATTACCAACAGATTAAATTCTGACAGACTTGATTTAAATTTAAGCTGGCCACCTCTGAAGTCACTTTGGGTATTATTGTAAACAAATTGGATATGAAAGCCTCCTCTGAATTTCAGATTAGGAGTTCGGCCCTTGGTAACCTGTTCCCATACAGCTTGAGGTCTTTCCCTACAGGAAAGCCTCATGGGAAAGAGAAAAAAAAAAAGTATGTTTTCCAACAGTCAGCTCAGAAGTGAGGCAGACCCTAAATCTAAAACGGCAGCTTGGTTCTTCAACTCCAATTTGGCTTGAAGAGCAGTAATACATCGTAATAAAAGAAGGCATATATTATCAATCTTAAGACCTTCTTTGCATCTGCTAAGTAGCAATATTGCATAAATGTGAAGTTTATGCGAATGCAAATACATAAATGTGATCTGAAGTCCGAAAGTATCTTTTGCTTACACTAAAATAAAGTGACATAATTCAGTTCTCAGCCTGTATTCAGAAAATATTTTTTTTCTCCACCCAAAACTTACTTCCCACATAACTTAAGTACACTTGCACACATTCATGTGTAAGCAAAACCTGAAATACCAGGGTCAGCTTTAAGATAAAAATGATATAAAAATATAGTCCGCACAAACTAGATAGGTCATCTATTCTCTTCTTGGATGATTTCCCTCACCACTGCAAAATCAATTCAACAGTGTAGTACTGTCTTCCAAACACTGGCTGCTGCTAAGAGTGATTCCATGATCTGATGATTTAATGGATAAGTGCTGAATTTTAACACAGCTCAAGACAACAGGAATTGAATGAACTTTATGTTACTGAAGCAGCATCAATATATCTATTGCTCCATTGTTAAGATGAGTGCACTCAGACATCTAACTTCCTAGGCTGCCTTGAATTGCATCAACTGTAGGAACTATTTGCCATTGTAAACATGTTTTACTGAGTGCTTTAACATAAAAGCAGCTTCAAATGCAGAATGATATAATCAAATGTGAAAGGTATGGAGACAGTAATTTACCAGTTACACAGATGATCTAATTAAAAATAACTTCAAACCCAATTTTGTTATCTTTTGTTAATTTCAGCTCTTACAGCATTACATTTTGCAATGAATTGCTATTAATGAAATCATCACAAAATAATTTTTGAGTATGAGAAAAATATATGTATCAGATTATATTCAACACCATATGAAAACAAATACTGCAGTTAAAAATTATTTCTTACAGAAGTCTAAATCCACTCCAGCAATACGGAATAAATGTTTGCAAATCCTAGAGAATCACAAATTGCAATGAAATGTGAAAAGAGGAATGCTTTAAAAAATCATCAGATCCTCTAAAGCCTTTGCAAGATGTTGGTTTAATGTATGTAACTAAATGATGGCTGTGATAAACAGCTGAAACTCATTCCTGTATATGCAATATTAGTATATAGAATTGTCAGTGTATGAAATGTGTCTCAGAAATTTTGCAATATGCTATTGTGTAGTACAGAGATAGATAATGGTATTTGGAGCAAAATCTAATACTTCGAGTTATTCTGTTTAACAGCTGTTGAGAGTAAAGAGATTTTTAGCTATGTGAAACCAACTGCAGGTTCTGGTACATTAATTTCACAGTGTAATACCTTCTGCCAGTTGTTGTCTTTAACTCTCATATTTGCCAAGTAGAAGGTATCACTCCTAACAAGAAATTCTAGATTTGAATTTCTGAACTGCTTCAGAATTTTTCATCAAAGTTCTAGGAAATTGCAACAATAAAAATATTATTTTCAACTTAAAAAAAATAAAAATACATTAATAGATGGTGGTGGTAAGACACTGCTACTAGAATCACCAAAATAAAAATCTTAACAGCATTGATCATGTGCCTCATAACACAAGACAAAAAAGAAAAATATTGCCTGTTCACAAGTAATGGATTTAGATAATTTGAGATAATGAAGCTCTATGAGGAAAACCAGACGGCATCAGACTATTTCATGTATGCATCTAAAGCATCTCCACTGATATTCACAGGCACTTTCCTTTATTAAATTCCCGTGTTCAATATCACAGTTTTGTAACAAAATATTTTGTTTACTTGACTTTTACTAAATTTCATCTTGTGATGACACAAAAAAAAGTAAGTTTTGGGAGAATTTAAGAAAAGAGTAGATTAGTAACTGTTGAGAGACAGTATAATGGGCAGCATCAAGAAAATGGGGCAGCCAAAAGAGATCAATTAGAGACAATGTGCTATCAGATTACAAAAATTCTCATGTGAGAAGCCTAAATGATTATTTATTAACTCATTTTATTATTTGCAAAGGTAAAGACAACTAAACTAATGCCAAAAGAAAAACCTGCAAGAGAAATACACTTACTTCATGGACAGAAATCATAATGACCAATAAAAAAACATACACATAATTAAGAAAAAAACAGAATAACCTAATAGATAGTTTCCAAAACCAGAACAGGATCCTGAAGTGAAACATTCTGCAGCAGTTAGTCTTAGGAAAGCACTGTGCTAATTAATGAATAATCTTCCAATTTTATTTTCTTTTTTTTTCAGTGAAGTTTTTGTTGCCTTTTCAAATTAGGTACATAGCTATCCTCTCTTTTAAATGTTTTTCAGATTTATGTACAAATTAAAGGCAGACGGACAGCACTTCTAAATCATCTCTTAATCTAAATTTTCACAATTTCACCACTTAGGGAAATAGTTTTAATAGTGATGTTGCTCTTCTCTGGCATGCTTTTACATCTTCCTATTTCTGTTCGCAGTTAAAAGCCTTGAAACAACACACACAGTTTTCTTGGGTTTGTTTTGATTTACCTGAAAGACAGCCAGTGAGTGACAGAAACAGAAACAGTTTCCATGACAACCACATCCTTGGTCGTAAAGGTCCCTCTTTGTGTGGTTGTTAGCAATGTTGACGTTTCTTCATTAAAGCTTAGCCTAGTGAGACAAAGACAAATCTCTGTCAGGAAAATTAAAAATATCTTGCAATAGTATGATAGACAACTCAGGAGACAAAGCTGGTCGTAGTGCAATTAAAAGTCCAGTTCCAAAGAACTTGGTTTGCACAGTGGCAGGTAGCCTGACAGATACTCACAGGGATCTCGCTTCCGTAGTTACCTGTGTTAATAGCTGAAATGTTCGTGGCAGTGCTTTATGTATATATGTATATAGATATCACCCAAATGCTCTATGTGGATTGAAGCTTTGAATCTCAGAAAAAAGCAGAACTTAGACAGAAGATAGCAGCAAACATATTCAAAGCATATAGGTTGGCATGCATTCATCTGCTCCTGAAAGCAGTATGTTGATGTTTGGTATAAAGCATTTTAAAAATCCCAAACTAAAATAATTTGCTCTAGGAAAATTCAAGCATTTTTACTACTTGCAAATTGGCTGAAATATATTCTGGTTTCTTCCAGTTTACTTTCATGTAAGGTTTGAAAAAAAACACCATTTATACAGAACAGATTATTCCTACTCTACATCAGAATTTAGTTTTCTATTTGTCCATGATTTGTACATACATCTTGGCACACTACATCTTGACGACTGTGTAATCAGGTATCACTTTAACAATATCAGTAACTTATCACACCAGGGCTTAAAGATTTTGTGTTTAAATGACTGAAAACTCAATCTAAAATATGAGAAGGTTCAGCTGATTTTGTATGGACATGAGTGTACTTCTGTTCTTAGACTGCATCAAGCTGCAAACATAAAATTCATCTCCAAGACTTAATTAGCCATCTCTGTTTAGGAAACCTTTGAGATCCTCTTCTTTAAACCCAAGGAATCTTTAACCCTTAGAGGTCATGATCCACAGCTACAAGAACAATCCAATCGGACAGAACAATGAGACAAAGACAACTTTGCTTTGTTCCCCTATCAGCACCCTTTGAGGCATAATGTGATTACTACAGGTTACAATCAGTTCAGTTGCATGCCACAGGTGCTGGTTTGGGGGTCCTGTCCTGTATATTAGAAAATTCACAGTTAAACATGCAGAGGTAAAGCTCAACACAGTTGACAAAAGAAAAAAAAATCATAATGTAAGAGTAGGTTCCTGATGGATTATTCCATTTCAACTGCTCTCTGAGCATCTCTATTTGCAACCTATTTTGACAGCCTTTACTTCATATATAGAAAGGCACACAGTGTGAACACAAGACGACAGCAGCTGTTTATGTTGCTGGTAGTTATTCCTGCAACAATCTAAAGGTGCAGCTTGTCAGCTTTCATTTATTACAGCACAGCAGGTACAGTTTCCAACACAGATAAAAATTCCCATTTATGATCATACTTCCTTCCAGGTAATGCAGACCAGGCAAACTTAATATCAAGTATACACTCTAATATAAGTGTCTCTGAAAGAGAACATAACAATCTGGTAGTGAAGTGACTTTACACATAGTGCCTGTAGCTCATCTAAAAATCCACAGGAAACCTCCTCAATTAATTATTAATGTCAGCTGCCTTTGTTTTTCACTTCAGTGATAATCTGGTTTCGGTCACTGTGTTCCTTTGGTTAGTGAATTCTCTTGTTCAGCATTCTTCGCCTTTGGGAAATAAGTATTTTCATTAATATTTAATTTTTTCCCTTATGGCCATATCTGTTAAAGAGGGTAAAGCACAGCTTCCCTCCCTCCCCCAGCAGTCCCCCTGAACTTTATTACTCTCTTCTTTCTCTTTTCCTTCTTCTCTTCAGCTGCTTTTATAATAGTACAAAATAGAAATTATGCTAACTCGGTGATTTCTCTGTTGCATGAACAGGAAAAAATATACCAAGGTTTCCAGCAGTGAAGTGTGAGATTGTTGTTGTTAGCATTAGTTTTAGATGTTATTGTGCCTGTTGCATCAGACTTTTCAAAAACAGTATCAAAGGATGTGATTAGTAGAGCAGAAAGGTGTCAATCAATGGGAACATCAAAATGCAAGATACACTTATATGCATTTATCTTTGTATTCTTCAAACATAATGATTTTAAGATCTCTGGGAAAAGGGATGTCTTTTTAATGAAAGATTCATTAAAGAAACAGAGTTACGAGAACTTGTGCCAGATAAGGAGCTTAATATCTATCTCACATATATACATACTTAACTATTATAGATAAATATCTATAACAGCTTCTATATGACCATCCTTAACTGTGACCTACATAACCTGACCCTATTAATGTGAAACAACTTGAGCCCTGTTACCCAGGCATATTAAAATGTAAAAGCAGAACACAATGACAGAGAGATGCTCTGAATTAACTCCTGAATGTGGGACACTGACCTTCTTATTATGGTATTTGTTGCATAAATATATTGGCTATTTCAGTAGGAAAATAACAAAACAACATAGGGGAAAATATATCCCTGCATACCTTTTTAAATATCTATCTCGAAAACTTGACTATTATCATCATGAAAGGATCTTGCATGTTTACTTGTACTTTTGATGTATTTCTTGAATCTTCTGGGATACTTGGCAAATATTTTACTGGCCATGCAGACAAACAGCATAGCAACATAGGTTTATTGTACATCTAAGAACAGAGGAGTACAGTTTGTACAGTCTCTCAAAGACAATTGCATATATTGCATATATTGTGCTACTACATGGCATGCAGGATAATCACAAAGGTGCTTTCTAGGAAATAATACAGGCAAGAGCATGAAGGTGCTATATTTAATAAATATAGACCTATAGTCTAATTTCTACTTTAGATTTAATGAAGGGATGAACACTGGGCTGTACTGTCAATGGCTGTCATCTGATTTTTGGATGACTGGGCTCTCACTTTATAGAGAATCTTGGGTGAAGACTTCCTTACTGCTTATAGCAAAAAGACCAAAGCTGCACTAAAGCAATTAAAAACAAAATCTTCTTTCTTAAACAGAAAAAAAAAAATATTATTGCTTTAAAAGCAGCTAATAGATATTCTCTTAGATCTGGTAAGAATGCTCTCATTCCTAAACCTGGCTCATTCTTAAAGCTTAAGGGCATATATATACAAACAGTATTCAGTTGTTCTTGATTTGAAAATCTTGTTAACTTTCTGGATTATTTCCCAGCCGTATCTCCATCCCAGAATGAGAAGTATTTCAAAACAAGCACTTACATTTTAATCCTAAGAATACAGAACAAAATACACAGTCATGAATACTCCAATATATATGCCAATGCAAAAGAATACCGCTGAAGATGCTTCTCAAAACAACTATAAAATAATTTCAAATGAACAGTAACTATTTCCCCTCCCCCAAAATAGATTTGGACCTCCAAAAATCCAACTGACTTCTTTGGAACAGTTTGTTTGCTTCATTGGTAATTCAGTGCAAGAAAATAAAATTAAGTTGTCCAGAATATAAATTGTCCCATAGATTTCTTTTGCATAGTGCATGATTTGACAAAGCTCTACAGTCTAGATTTTAAAAGTAAGGATGGAATGTATACAATTTCTGAGGGTTTTTTTCCTGGTTTCTTCACAAAATATGCAAAATCAGTAAGCTTTTTTTTTTAAAATAATGAATTTTATGTAAAAATCAGTGATCCAAAATAAAGGTGATGTATAGTGATATAATTTCTCTAAGAAATTCAACTTCTTCTGCACGAAGAATTAGCAAATTCCACATGGTACTATCCATAGTCCTTTCTTTTCCCCAGAATGTCTGCCAAATTGCTTTGAAATTTCTTTAATTCTGTGTGCTGGTTATAGACAACTTATTAAAACATTCACCAGTCAGTATTTTTTAATGAATTGCTTTGGTTGGATTTTGTCTCGTGGTTCTGAATCCCAACAGAATTTTGGAAGAATGCAATGATGTCAACACTAATGTACAAGAGACTTAAACTAATGTAATGTTTCTAATAATAGTACCTATTATTATTACTTTTTTTCTAGAACATATGATAAACAGATATGTAGCTACAAAGATTTGTTCTTTTTCTTAATTAAAATAGTTAAGAAGTGAAGATTTTTACCAGATACTGTGATACTGATATCAAAGTTCTTTCTTCCATTATCACTACCTAATTTTCCTTTCCCATCATATGAATATTTATCAATTTTGCTCTACCAATATGAAAGGGATGATTACTTAAATCCATATCCTCTCTTCAAGCAGTGTAGCACGTCTTTATCTCTACAGTGACTATAGTGCTTAGAAGAAAGCATATGACTTGTTTCAAAAAGAAAAAGTGCTCACTGATGTATTTCTTTTTCCTATATCAATATATATGAGAGGAAAGCCTAAGTCACTGGCACTTCACAGTATTTAATTTTTTCTTTCCTTTAGAAAAAGAACACACAGGTAATGAAGAAATAATACCAGTAATAAGCAATTCTGATATTCTGCATGGATTTGAAAGATCAAAAACTGAAGAAATTAGGAGATTAATGGAAAGAAAAACACAGCATATGCTACAATGAACAGATATGTGGTTTTAGATAATGTTTCTAGGAAATCCTTATCTTCATATTTAGTTAGTGGAGGATGTTGGTCTAAGGTGCAACTAAACTGCTAATAAGATTCCTCAAGGTGGCAAACCTATAAAATCAATGCAATGAGCTAAGTATCACTGACTAGGCTTTCCATAAAAGGCTTTTGGAAAAAGACAGAGGTCCTACTTAAAAACAGTTTAAAACACTGAAATGAAGCCTTCTATTCAACACTGAAGTCCAGGTGTCTTCCTGCACAACCTTTACTTCAGTCAGGGCTTGGAATACCTGAATCGAACTGCTGCAGTCAGCAGGTCAGCATGTCTTTCTTGCTCCCATGAGTATCAGACCTGGTTAGAGTCTTCAGAAGAGCAAAGGTTCAGATGCTACAAAGTCCATCATGAACAGAGGAGATAGTTTGGCTGGAAATTTTTTGAAAGAGAGTTGAGAGTTCCCTGATGATTTATTTACATATAAAGTTAACTACAAGACCATGATTATGACAAATA